AAGTAGGCGGTCTGATTTATTTATTCTTATGCTTATACCTAAGAAAACTTTTATTTCGTCTAAATCAACCATAGAAAATTGTTGCATTAGGTACTTTTTGAAGTTTTGCATTTTATTAATATTTTTTGTAGCAATTAAAACATCGTCTACGTATAAAATAACGTAAATATTTTCGTTTACATGACCCTTGTCTAGAAAATATAAACATCGGTCGACAGAAGAGCTTTTGAAATCGTGCTGTTTTAATATGTTATCAAAACGTTCAAACCAACATCTTGCTGATTGTTTTAGGCCGTATAACGATTTTTGTAATTTGCAAACCAATTTGTCATTATTTACTTTTAGACCTTCAGGTACACGCATATAGATTTCTTCTTTTAAGATGCCATTTAAAAAGGCGGTTTTAACATCCATTTGATGTATAGTTAAATTAAATTGATTTGCAAATGCTAAAGGAAATCTAAAGGTGGAAATTCGCGCAAGCGGAGCAAAAGTTTCGTCATAATCAGATAAATATTGCTGACTAAAACCGCTTGCTACTAACCGTGCTTTGTATTTTGTGGGATTGCCACTTGTATCGTTTTTAATTGTGAATACCCATCTGCAATCATCAATGTTTTTATTTACAGGTTTAGAAACTAGTGACCATGTTTTGTTTATTAGTAGAGAATTAATTTCTTCGTTTATCGCCTTCTCCCATTTAAGTCTATCATCACGTTTGTTTATTTCTTGATAGCAAGTCGGTACATTTAAGACTAAAGACTGTGCACTCATAAGGTAATTATTAAATTGGGAGTCATTGAAATTAAGAGTGTGACGATTTTTTATTCTTTCGCTTCTCCTAACATTAATATCAGCGCTTTCGAGTTCATTATTTAAATTTGATGGAGACTTACTGTGTTCAAGGAGATATTCATATTCATCTGTTTTATTTACAGATTTATTAGTGCCATCATTGCCAGATATTTTGTTTTCTTGGCAGTTTGTAGATTCATCAAGTTTTAATGTAGGCCTTGATGTTTTAAAATTTAATTCATCAAATATTACATCACGTGCTATTAAAAATTTACACGTTTCTGCATTGAAAACTTTATAACCATTTGTTTCGTACCCAACCAGTATACCTTTAAATGATTTTTCATCAAACTTACTTTTTCTGGTTTTATTGTGTACATATACGAATACTTTTAATTGGTTTAATCTGGGCTTTTTATTATGCCACAGTTCAAATGGTGTTTTATTTAGTTTGATCGCTTTAGTGGGGGTTAAATTTATTAAATATGTAGCAGTTAAGACTGCTTCACCCCAAAAACTTTTATCTAAGCCAGCACCATGGATCATGGCACGGGCTTTTTCTGTTAGCGATCTATTCATACGCTCCGCTACTGAATTTTGTTGCGGAGTATAAGGCACAGTTAAATGATATGTAATACCTCTTTGAACACAAAATTCCTTTTGCTCTTTTGAAAGATATTCGCGACCATTATCACAATATAAATTTGCGATTTTTAAATTAAAGTGTGATTCACTTTTTGCAACAAAATCTTTAAAAACGTTGAACACATCTGATTTGTGCATTAATAAATAAGTCACTGTATAATGTGTATACTTATCAATGAAAGTAACAAAATAATTTTTGTTATCAAGTGTTGATGGAGTTATTGGACCGCATACATCCGAATGCACAATAAATAAGGGTCTTTTAATGTGTGTTTTATCTTTGGCTTTAGAAAAAGGAAGACGTGTTTGTTTACCATAAATACAAGCTTCACAAATATTTTCATTTGGATTAATTGCATGCAGTTGACTACTATCATGTACAATTTCTTTAGTTTTTATTTCTAGGAATTTAGTTTTACTAATATGATCTAGACGTTCATGCCAAATTTAATAATTATTAGTAGTACTTAAATTTGCTTTGGAAAAATCTAACAAAATTAGCGCTGTAACTTCACCCTTATCGTAAGCCTCCATCAAATCACTTATTAATGTTGCAAGGGCTGTTGCTGTGGAAAATCTCTTTCTAAAACCGCACTGATAATTAGGAAGAATTTTTTTCACCGTTAAGTAGTCATAGATTTGCTTGTATAAAACTTTTTCAAGAATTTTTGAGATAGCCGGTAAGATACTGATTATACGTAGGTCTGAGAATTCTTCCGGGTTATTTTTTTTTCGGCAGAGGTCTCCCTACAGCAACTCGCCATATTTGAGGAAAATAGCCTTGCTCAATACAAGAGTTAATTATATTCGCAATATAAGGAATAATAAAAGGACAACAGTATTTTATCATTTGTAATGAGATTTCATCCACGCCACAGGCATTGGAGCGAAGACTACGCAAAATTAAAGCTACTTCTTCGACAGTAGTCATGATAAAACTAAAAGAGTTTGAGTTTTCAAAGTAATTTGCTTCAAAAAAATCAATTTGATTTTGTCCATTATTAGATGAGGTCTGCAAAAAACTCGCAAAATAATTATTAATGTCTTGAGGGTTAGATAGATGATAGGGAATTTCACTTGATTTCTTTGTTTTTAAATTAAAGTCACTTAATGCCGACCACAGCTTTTTTGGATTTTTTTTGTCAGCTAGTAAGTCAAGGTAAGCTTTTTTTTCTCTTCGTAGACAAGTAAGGGCGAAGTTACGGAGGTCTTTATACTTACTGTAGTCATTTTCACGTTTAGTTTGTTTAAACTTCCGCAAAGCTCTATCACGTTCTTTCATTATTAATTTTAAGTTCGGTGTTAGCCAAGGTGCTTTAGGTTTACTAATTCTTATTTCTTTTATGGGGGCGTGACGATCAAATAATGATATGATAAAATTATTAAAAATATTAACTTTTTCGTCAATGTTATTTTCATTCAACAATAAGTGCCAAGAAATTTGCCTCAAGTCGCGGTCAAACTCCTCCTGGCTAAAGCTATTAAAAGATCTTACTTTAATGAATTTTTGAGAAATTCTCGGTTTTATTAATGAAAGATCACAGTAAGTAAGGCTGTGATCTGATATATGATCAGTGTTTATGACTCCATTAGAGGCTACTAATTCTTTTGTTGACACAAAAATGGGGTCCAGCAACTTGCTTGAACTTTTAGTGACTCTAGTTGGTTCATTAATAATGAATGCCCTCAAACGAAATTTCCAGATGCTGTAATGTTCTCCATTGAAGGGTTTAATATTTCGTTTAATTTTTTTATCACTCGCCATTGTCACTTTAGTGTCACTTTTCACAAATTTTATTTAGTTTTGTTTTAGTTTAGATTTTATTTTTAACGTCACTATTTCACCACACTAATAATTAATAAACGTATTCTGGGCCCATAACCTATTAGGGTATTTGGACGATTATTTAATTAAAACACTTTAAGTATTATCAATACTTTTATTTAAAGTTCTTACACCGACTATGTTCAATGGTTAAGTAAGTTGGTTTCATAAAATATAGGTCGTAGTGCTTACATGCTAAATCATCAGTATTAGGATAAACATACAGAGTGGACTACGTGACATTTAAGCAGCATTAGTTTTTGGATATTTCAATATGTATGTATGTCGTTATACAATCCCAGAATCATATCATTTGGCCCAGACAATATTTTATTTTTTACATTATTTCAGACAATATTGGTAAACCCAAGAGAAAAATCTATTGACTCCAATTATTATTATAATAACTGTTTACCAATATGGTCTGAAATAATGTAAAAAATTAAATATTGTCTGGGTCAAATATATTATAATATATTAAATTTAAAATTTGAATTTTTGACAAGACCATAAAATTTAATATCAAACTATTCCCAAATATTTGTTTACAATTTAAACAGACATTTTTTAAACAGACTACCCACCTTTAAAAAACAATCCGCGATTTTTAACTAAATTTTAAATATATTTCTTTCATCTGGTTAAAATAAGGTAAATACAAAATTATTTTACTTTTAAACAGAAAAGATTTTAACTAAGAAGTTCTTTAGGTATTGTAAGGAAATTTTATCTTTACAAATTTAGATTTAGCACTTTTTGGTAAGCCAATCGCGTAATTTTTATGGTTTTTGTTTGGTTTTTTATTCAAGTTCCAGACTTTTATTTAATTTACATTACATCACTGAATTAATTCCTTTGAAATAATTTATAACAACCCAGTTACTAAATAATTACCTCGATAATTACTTACTAGTTAATAACTAGTTACAAGTAGTTACTGTTTCAAATTTTGAAAAGTGTAAATTTTAAAATTTTTAGAGATGTAGGTAATAATATTGGTATTATGGGCAATAATATAAGGTATGATATTTTTACTCAATCATTTCAACTGGCCTAGTATTTTCACGAAAATGTTGATGAAAGTAATGGAATTTGCTAAGAAAAAATATTGTTGTGTTATTAGACGTCTGATTTGATATCCATGTCAAGGAGGTTGAAAATAAATCGGCAATCCATCTTACGGCGACCGCCAAAATGAATTGATTTATTTCCATATCTCTCTAAATAATGCTCTGATTTGATATCCATGTCAAGGAGGTTGAAAATAAATCGGCAATCCATCTTACGGCGACCGCCATAATGAATTGATTTATTTCCATATCTCTCTAAATAATGCACAGCCACTTTAATAAATGACGTAACCTCTGCGACTTCATGCGCTCCTGATACTTAAAACCGTTTAAAACATATCTTCAATGTTTATTTTTTTTGTTGCAAAACACTCTCACATCAGCCTGACTCACTTCTGCGATTTAATGCTCTCCTGATACTAACGGACATTTAAAAGCGTTTTACATTTTCCGTATTTTTCTAAAGAAGTTTTAAAAATTTGGGTCAATGCTTTCCTTAGAGGTATAACGATTTTTTGCTACCTGATTGGCGTAAAATGTCAAACATTTCCTAATCACATAAACAATTACATTTTTGGCTTTAATTTACTAAATTAAAGCGTAATTAAAGATGACATTTATTTTAAAGAAATTTTAAGTACCTATATGATTTCATTTTATTTTAGCAATGAAGCACTACCAATTTCAAGTAAATATGAGTCAAGATAATGAATTTAGTAGAGTATCACAGGACAATCCCCTATTAATTACTTATATTCGAGAGGTACATTTAACGCCAGCAATTGAACCAAATCACAAATTAATTAATACTGAGGAAACTATTTCTAATGACACCCTTTTTGTTATAAGACTACTAGAAGACAAGGTAAGATGTTAATGGTATTTTTAAATTGTAATTTAATATTTAAGAAAAACTTCAAATAACTTGTTGATTTTTAAAGCCTTTGATGAATAAATTACAGTAAAATATACACTAAGGGCAGTATGCAGAAACGTTTATTTATTTATATCAACTGATTAGGCATATCAGTGGATATAGGTTTTTGCACGACATGGCAACGTAGTACTTTTCTTTAAAAACTGTTGTTTTATAAAATAAATTGGGTAATTATCTTTTAACGTTTATATTTTCCCTAAAAAAGTCAATTTCTATACATTGATATTTTAAATTGGACAAAACAATTAACCATAACCATAGAAAATAATTTTTCTGATTTAAAATATAGATAGACAGTATTTTTGTTTGTAAATATATATGAAAAAATAAATTCAGAAGGTAACATACCTATAATAAAGATATAATAAAAAAATAACATTTTTTAAAAGATAAAATTACTACCATGTTAATTATATCAAATATCTTTGCTGTTTTTTTTGTCAGATTAAAAATCTGAATGCTTGAAATCGATTTGATATTTACTTTCTTTGGTTTCATTGTAAAATAATTACCCCTAACATTAAACTTGGGTAATAGTATATTATGTATTAAGTTTGATAGCGCCATTCTATACACGAATTGAATTTAGGCACGAGCGAGCTTGCGAGCGAGTGCTTAAATTAATGAGTGTATAGAAAAGAAAAGGTGCATACTATACTTTTTCTACGACAAATACTTATTATTATCTTAAAATGATTTAAATCAAATATTTGTATAGAGCGCCATCTATGAAACAATCTGTGTGTCACCGTCAAATGTCAAATTTTTATATTTTTTAAACACAGATTATAAAGGTTATAAATCGAAATGTATTCGTTGAAAATGGACAGTTTTTCACAGTGAAAGTAAAGAAAATGTTTTATGAGCAGTGGAGTCCGTGCCCGAATTTATGTTTTAGTTTACTGCCGGCGAAATTAAAAGGTCAGTACAATGTTCATATAAACTTTTCAAATATTGGCGTTGAGAAACTATTTAATTTTGTATTTTTGTATTGAGATAAAATAATTTTCACATTTAGTATTATTTTACAAAAAAGGCACTTTATTTTAACGATTGTAGGACCATTGACAACTGTCAACTAACTTAAAACTAACTTCAGCCCGTGATTAAAAACCTGTTGCTAACTTCAGCCCTTGACTAAAACGCCATAAAGCCACAACTTGTCAATGTGTATTTAAAAGGTCACTTAGTGTCATGGAAACATGTACGATAATGGGCGTTTTAAAGGTGGGAGTAGAAAAAAATATTTATTGATTCATTTTTTTATTAATAAAAACACATACCTTCCATAAATGTTTACTTTTTAATATAATTCCTAGATAATTTAAAAAATTACAATTTAATAAATAATAAGGATTATAAAATAAAACCAAAATTATGTTTTAAAAATATTTGTCTTATTTTTTAAATTCTTTTGAAGAATTTTAAATTTTAAACCAATTTCAACTTATTTTTTCTTTTAAATTATGTGCTTTCTCTTCAAATAGAAACAGTAGGGGACTTTTTTTCTGAGGAAATTTACACTCTATTTATTTTTTGGATCAGAAATGAAATGAATGAAATTCGGGGACAAAAACATAGGTATTTCAAATTGAATCTACATATTATAATATTATTAACAGTTTTTGCCAGTAATACAACACGGTTCGCCAGAAGAAAGTTTAATTGAAAATGTGTTGTCGCCTCAAAATTTATTTTATTTACGATTCCTAGATAAATTAGCCATATTTTGACTTACTTTTTAAAATTAGTTTACGTGGCCGATATTTAGAAAATTAGTTAAAATTGGAGGCCTAGCGGGTTTCATGGAGTACGTAGATGATTTCAGAAAGTTTGTTCGTTGACGACTGTTTTTCACTAAAGTTACGGCCAGATTTTGAACAAGATATTGGAGAATTTAAAAAAACTTACGAACTTTTAGGAATTTCAGTAACACCAAAAGCGCACACAATTTTTTATCACGTTGCACAATTTTGTTCAAAACATCAGATGGGCCTGGGGTTTTTTGGAGAGCAAGCTACAGAATCTGTGCATCATAATTTTAACGAAAAGTGGAAAAATTATAAGGTATCGAAATATAACAAAAATTATACGGCGAAACTTCTTCGAGCTGTACCTAACTACAATAGTACACAGGAATAGATATATGCATAAGCTTTTTTAAATTTCTTAGTATTATTTATGTATTAACATTAATTTGAATGTTATTTAAAAGGGATACAGTTATTTTGTTATTTGTTCTTATATTTATGTATTGAATAAATGCTGATGCCTAAATCGGCCACGCAAATGTATTAGAACAAAAAATATCATCTAATTTTGTATTTTAAGGTTAGAAAAATCTATTTTGCCCAAAATAAATAAGTGGATTATTTGAAAGAGTGTGTTAATATGGTCATAAATACATATAGGTATACTAAATAATTTTTTTTTTGATTTGATTAGATTGGTCAATAAGGATACTTCCGTGCTTGTTTTTATGTTTTTATTGCGACTAGTTTCGATCTAAGATCATCTTCACTGAAGATGATAATAATTTTACATATTTTTGTAGTTTGCCTGAAGATTCTTCAGGCAAACTACAAAAATATGTAAAATTATTATAAGTAATGACAATGACAATGATAAAATTAAAAGTTTAAAGTAACATTACGATGGTTGATAACAATTATTAAATACTTACATGTCAATAATTAAAATATTTGTAAGAAAGTTTATCAATTATATTAAATATATGCATAAAAATATTTTTAGATTTCGGTTAAAATTATTTACAATATATAAAGACTTGAAGAACGATGTATTCTTGGTTGCCGGACAAAAACTAACCAAAAACTTAATTTTAAAATATACAGAAAACCGACAAATACTTCAGCACTTATACCATTTAAATCACAGCATCCTTACAAACATAAACTTGCTGCCTTCCATAGCTTCATACATCGAGCTTTAAACACCCCTATGAATACAAGTGATAAAGAAAACGAACTTAATATTATTAACCAAATAGCAAATGAAAATGACTTTCCCATTTCAATAATCAACAAAATAATCAAAAAACAAGAAAAAAGACATTTTAACTCACACTTAATCGGTCAAACAGATAAAAACAAAAACAATACATACAAAAAATTTACATATCAAGGAACCATAAACAACAAAATATCTAAAATCCTTAAAACATTTGAAATTAATAGCGCCACATCACAAAAAGAAAACATTATTAACCACCTAAGAAATGGAAAAGATAACACACACTACCTCGATTAAATGTGAAGAATGTAATGCTGAATATATAGGAGAAACAGGAAGAACACTCAGAACCAGAATTAAAGAACACATAAAGGACAGAAAAACATCAAACTTTGGTAGACATTTAGAAATAAGCGGGCACAATTTTAAAGATTGGAAAAACATAAAACTAATACACCAAGAAGGAAAAGGACTAAAGCTAACTCTATTGGAAGCCTTTGAAATATACAAACATAAAAAAAGAAACAAAAATAACTTATTAAACGAACAAGTAGAACTACAATTTGAACCTATATTTAAACACCTATAGCTGCCGGCAACCAAGAATACATTGTCCTTCAAGTCTTTATATATTGTAAATAATTTTAACCGGAATCTAAAAATATTTTTATGCATATATTTAATATAATTGATAAACTTTCTTACAAATATTTTAATTATTGACATGTAAGTATTTAATAATTGTTATCAACCATCGTAATGTTACTTTAAACTTTTAATTTTATCATTGTCATGTTAACATAACCTTACTTATAATAATTTTACATATTTTTGTAGTTTGCCTGAAGATGATCTTAGATCGAAACTAGTCGCAATAAAAACATAAAAACAAGCACGGAAGTATCCTTATTGGCCAATCTAATCAAATCAAATTAACCTTGCTAAAAATGGACTACAAAAACCTTAGAAAAAAAAATACTAAATAATTGTTGAATATAGTTCAAATTAAATTGAAGCTTTTATACTTCCAACGACAAAACTTGTGCATACCTCTCGGCATACTTTACTTTTACTTTAAGTTAGATTATAAGAAAACAAACAATTTTTAGAGGAACTTGCAATGTGAAAATATTTAATACTCCCATGTAGGGATTGCAATCCGAAAAACCGGATCCGGTAATCCTGCGGATCCGGCATCATTAAACGTCGACCGGATCCGGCATGATCCGGCCGGATCCGACCACACGCCATTAGTTTTAAACTGACAGTTGGATTTCAAACTGACAGTTTGTCATTTGACTTGCTTGATAGTCAAATTATTTTTGTTTCCTTGAAGAATACGAGAATAATTTAAATTGAGTAACGAATCCTTGCTAATGATGCATATTTCTGATTTTGTTTATAATAACTTTATTATTACACTGATGAAGAATAGTATATTATGTAACAAATTTTATAAACGGTATTTTAGCTAAGAGTTAAATTAAGCACCAGCGAAGCTTGCGAGCGAGTGTTTAATAAAAACGAGTGTCTAGAGAAGTTTATAAACGAGTTACATACCATGCTTTATATACGACGAACACAAAACAGAATTTAAAGCAAATTTAATTTGTTAAAAGATTGACATCTGTCAACTGTCACCCGGGTTTAACCTCACTATTTCCCAATTTATAATAAATCTAACTTCAGCCCGTGACTAAAAAGCCCAAAAACCACTGTTGCTAACTTCAGCCCGTGACTAAACCGCCATAAAGTCACAGGTCGTCAGTAGAGGAATATATAATAGTATATTAAGTATCAAGTTTTATAAACGCCATTTTAGTTACGAGTTTAATTAAGCACGAGTGAAGCTTGCGAGCGAGTGTTTAATAAAAACGAGTATCTAGATAAGTTTTATAAACCAGTTGCATACTATACTTTATCTACGACAAACATAAAACAGAATTTAAAGCCAA